GTAACACCTGGCATTTGGGATAGAAAGCAAGCTATATTATATTCAAACTTAAGTAAGGGAGTTGAAAATGAGTTCATTGGTCATACAAGAACTTCACCACTTCCTAACCCTAAATACTATAAATTAACTGGCTTCAATCGTGAGTTTTGGATAGACATGTTCTCCACTCATGACCATAACTGCCCAGTGTTCTTACCTCCAGACCATAAGGACTGTCTCTACATTGAAGCACAACTCTTAAACTCTACCATCGCAGTATTGTAAAATCTACGCTAGCTTTATTTTTATCACGAATGACCTCATTCTGACAAAAATAAATGACCTCATTCATGACCTCATTCATGACCTCATTGCTGACAAAAATAAATGACCTCAGAACTTCAACTTACGAATAAAGCTTGTTTTAGTCGTTAATGAGAAGTTAAACTTCTCAGCAAAGCAAGGTTGACATGACTTACATAAGTCAAATCCAATCTCTTGACCGTCATAAAGTGCTTTATAAAGTTTCATAACACTGAACTCAGAGTCTTTGTCAAATTTTCCTTGCGGAACCATTAAACCTTTATCTTCATCATAGAAACACTGAACAGAGTCAGGAAACATTTCATTAGCGGTTAAAGCAATAACATCTTGCTTCACGCCTTTCATTCTGCAGTGAAATGCAACTTCATTTAAATCGTTAGTGAGTAAGTCTATGTAGGTCTTCTTTCCACAAAATATTGACTTGTATGCTAAACTTTGTTTTCCAGGTGTTATTTCTGCGAAGTCACTATGAAACTGACCAAGGTTTTTACCAATGAGAACTCTTCCATAACGTTTCTCAAACTCTTCAGCTAAACGAGGGATATCTTCATTGTAGAGATGCATACTGTCCGTATCGCTATAAAAGATGTCCATTCCTAAGTCCTTCAGCAGTACAGAATACTTCACACATTATTCTCTTCGACATAGATAGAATGTTAACACCAAGTGGACAGAAGTTAAAGTGTCTGCAAATGCTTTTCGTTAGCTTGAAAATAGTTTTATCTGAACCATCCAAACCTTCGAACTTCACTATATGGTTGTAGTTTCTGATGGCATATCTTATAGCATCTTTGTCATTTACTATGGTTATTTTTGACTCAATAGGAGATAGAATAGTTTTGCCATAAATACTGTTCAGAATGAGCTTTATATTTTCTTGCAAAGGATTTCCTTCTTTCTTATACTTTAACCTTAACTCAAACAACTTCTTTACTTCATCTCTTATTCTAATATCTCTGTTTCCATCGTAATAGTATCCTTGCAACACTTCACATTTGACACCTTGATATTTTATGAGGTCTTGTAATGTTATATGGTCAACATACATTAAACAGCAAGTGTTTGAACTTCTGGGAACGTTAAGTTCTGGATTTAGTTCAGGGTCACAAACTATTAAAGGAAAGTGTCTATGTATTCCAATCTCTGTTATCTTAATGAGAACAAAGAAGCCAGACATAAACTTTTCACCAATGGGTTCCTTTTGGTCGTCATCGAATAAATGTCTCATGAGATACTCTGTGCTTAACATCTCATCCTTCATAACCTTTGGAATTCCTTCTAAAGTATAAAGTCTTGCTATAGCTGATGGATATAATGAAACAGCGTCGAAGTCAGCAATGAGTTTCTTTTCGCTCTTTTGTTTAATGTTATCTGACAACATACATCTTCCACCTTGAATGCATCTCGAAATAAATTCTCTTGGTTTATTTGAGAGGTCATAAAGATTTCCATTCGGGAAGTACACTCTGTTCTCAAAATTTGTTAGCAATAGAACAAATACTAACGTAGTCATAAACGTTTAAATCAAACTCTTTCAATAAGTCATTGCGGAACTTTACAAAACCTTCTCTTAAAATTCTTACATCTTGTTTGCAATAAAATGTGCTATATTTTTCTAAGTCGAAGTGGTTTTCATCTATTCTGCAACCTTTGATGGAATCTATGTTTTTCATAAATGTATCTGCATCCTGGATAAACTTACACGCTTCAGAAATGACACCAGTTCTGTTGTCATTTGCTAACAAAGTACTGCTGTAGTAGTTATATGGAAATACTTCTTTCGGTCCTGTTTGTAAGTTAAACATAGCAGGAAATAGTTTAAGCTTCTTATTTATAACACTGTAAGAGTCTTTTATAATAATTGCCCTTCCTTTATATAAGCCAGTTATTTGCATTGTTCGTGAACCTTTAATGATGGGAGTTCCTTTCACTTCTGTCATGTGTCTTAAGATGAAGTTTATATCATAGCTGAGGTTATGGAAATATATTAAACTCTTGTCAGGAAGTCGTTCCAAAAATTCTGTTGCACAGTTCTGACCCCAAATGCTTTCACTCACTGAACCATCTTCACTGTCGTAACATGTTAAAAGCTTTATGAAAGCCATCGGTACTACACTCAAAGTCAGCAAAGAAAACGTGCTCAGGAATGAACTTGCACTTATTTTTATTTACTTCTTTTGACTCTGCTTTCTTCTTCAGTTGTACACAATACTTTGGAGCATATGTCAAATCTTTAAATGGTGCAAGGTTCTGTTTATATAAGTCAGTCGTATATGTGAAAAGTTCTCCATAAGAAATAGGTTCGAAATATTTGCACTCCCACAATGTTTTCATAACATCCCATAGCGGTGTAGTTCTATCATAACGAACTACATATTTTTCTCTCTCTTTGTATATATTTTCATCTGTTTCTCAATGTTCATTCCACCACACTCCTTCAAGATTTCTTTGTAATTTCTGACGAAGTATGTTGTCATTGGAAGTCTTTCGTTTAGCATGTAGTGGTCTTCAACAAGAAGTAGGTCAATAGTTCGAACAGTTTCACATTCTTTTGGTATGTATCTCTTTATTTCATTATATCTTGAGTCATTGAAGTAACCAATGGTAACATTAAATGCTATACCTGTTGCGTCAGAAATTTCTTGTACTTTACTTTGAGGAAAGTCTCTAACACGAATGACTTCTCTCATGTGGTCAATAGTTTCTTCATTTACTCCAGCCTGAATGCAAGCATAAACGAAACAATTGTCTTCTGTCATAAGTGTTGCAGTTCTTTTGTTCAGTTCATTGAAGATTTGGTAGCGTTCAAGATTTATAGGTAATGTGCAAAGATACTTCCAGAACTGACCGCTTCTCTTCTTATAAAACTTCTTTTCACCATTATCTTTCCAAAAGCTTTCTATAAGTGCTGGGTTTCCTGTTTGCTTAAGAGCTTCCAAAATGGCTTTCTGGTCATTTGTCAGTGTGCTTTCATCTCTATATGGTCTCTTTTTTGGTTTGCCTTTCTTTACATCTGACATCGTTAAGCCTTCATATTCTGTTAAATCATACATCTTTATTTCAGTAAGATTCTTTATGTTTGTCAAGAAGAAGTCATAGTGCATTTCAACAATACCTGCGGCATTTGCTTCTATCTCTGATATAAAGTTCTCCTTCAAGAGCTGATGTAGTAATGTTCCAATATTATTGAGGTTTAACGTAGAACATTCATACTTTCCACCAAGTTTATAACATACCATCCATCTCTGTTGTGAGTTTATTTTAATCTTCTCTAAGAGTCTCATGAAAACCTTACCGAAATGTTTGTGTAAATATTCTCTGTTTGGTTCATCTAAAGCTTCGATGTTAAAGTCAATGAGTCTATTGCCTGACTTCACATTTCTCTTCCTATTCTCTTCATCTTTCTTTAACCATCTCTCACCTTCTTTTGGTTTGTCGTCAATGGAACGAATGACATCGTTAGCTTTGCGAACTTGTTCTATAGCACTTTTAAACATCTCTCTTCTCTGTTGTTTCAGTGTGTCGTCTCTTCTTCTTGTTTCACCAACGTTTGCATTTGTTATGTCAAACATTTCTCTTCTTACTTCATGAGGTACTGAACGTCTATGATATAAGTCAATAGCAACGTCATTTAAAGGAAAAGTTCTTGCATGGACTTCGTCCTCGCCGCGTTGCGGCTTTATGAACTCATGAATTCTATCATAACTTATTGCACCATTATAGTCATTGAGGATGTCAGCGAGTGCTTTTTTGTTTGTCGCGTAATGTTTTGCAACATCTATGTTAGCTTCTGTAAGAAGTTGTTTTATTTCCGAGTGTTCTAACTTAGACAACTTCCGATACATCTTTAGTAGGAAATAAAAAAATATTTTTTGAAAAAATTAGATTAGATTTTTTTAAGTTATTTTTCAAAATAATTTAATATTTTTATTTTAATGAAACACATGCAAGATTGCAAGTTCTTTTCATACAATGCTCTCGCTACTGCCATCAAGAATGAGTTCAATGGTGCTTCAAACGTTAATGTTATCTTTAACAAGAAGTTTGTGAAAGAATCTAAGTTTGGTCAGTATGTCAGACCATTAGCTATTGTCATTGACCGCAAACGTTATACTTCACAAGAGTTAGCAGTAGTTTTGAAACAAAAGGGTTTCTTCGTGAATGTCAAAGATACTCATTATACTGTCATAAAGAACTCTAACATTGACTTCTTCAGTATTGCTATGAATCTTTCCGAACAGAAAGAATATAAGAAGGGTGAAACAAATGTGAAATATTATCCTTCATCTCTGAAGACAATAACGAACAAAGATGTTATACAGAAATTCTTACCAAAGGTTGAAGAAGCTTCAATTGACATTGACGAAGGAAGTGAAATGGTTGAAGAAATTGACCCTGACGTTATTTGAACAAAAATATATTTTTGGTTAGTCTTCATATCGATATTTTACAACAATTCCCCAATGTATAAACTTTTCATACGCTTTTTCATAAGCTTTATATACCTTCAGAAATTTTGCATAATCTTTAGAAGCATTTAGATATTGTTTAAATGCTTTATATACCTTCAGAAATTTTGCATAATCTTTTACATGTTGTTCGTTCTCTTCTTCTGTCATGAGTTCCGAATATTCTAAATTCATGTTCTTTCATATGAGATAAAATTTTATAAAAAAATAAAATTAGCTTAGATTTTTTTATTCTTCCTCTTTGAAGTTATCGAAATATTCTGTTATTTTTTCCTTCAGTAATGGTAAGTCTTCTTTGAAGGTAAGAATTGTACAACCTTTAATATCATAGTGTGTTTGAGGAAGAGTACTTTTGACAATTTCCTTTATTTGCTCATTCGGTGTCATTGAAATCGGTAAGTTTTCACGATAGAACCAGTTTCTGTCAGATTTATATATTTTAGCGAGGTCATAAAAGCTCTTGTTGTTTCTTCTCACTAAATGCAACATAACCATATCTCTATCTTCTTCTTTCTCCATCTCTTCAGCGTAAATCATATACTTATAGCTTTTTTCCTTTCCTTTTGGTACTGAACGTGGTATTCTTTTCTGTATGCTTTTGTCTTTGGATTCAATGACTTCATCTTTTGCTTGAAGTTTCTTTTCCATCTCTCCACGTTCTGCTTTATATAGTTCATCTAACATCATGAAAATATAACAAGCATAACGAGGTGAAGCCCACATTGCTACAGCGTTTACTAAAAGTCTATGAACATAATAACCTTTCAAACCAGGTGCCAAATTCTTGCGATTTTCGTACGGAATCTCTTCTCTCGGTTTTCCGAGGGAAGCAATCATATGAGGAAATTCTTCTAAAAGTTCTTTTGTCTGTTGGTTTTCAAACCAATGATATGCTTGCTTTGTAGAACGAAGAGCATTCATTATACTTTGCATTTGGTACATGTCATCTTTGACTGAACGAATGAGACGTAACTGTTTGTTATACTGTATGTATTCGTATTCTTCATTTATAGCTTCATGGACTATAACTGTTGTTGTGTTCTCTGATGTTGTCATTACTGTCTTTACATACAAAATAAAAAAATAAATAAAAATAAAATTAGCGTTATTTTCTGACTTTCACAAAAGACCAAAAATAAACGCTTTACATGTATTTTTCAGCAACTTCGTCAAATAATTTTATAGCTTTATCTATCTCATCTACTTCAAACGTTTCTTTACCTTTCATGGGAGCACCATACATTTTCTCAAACTTTTCAAGTAGTTCTGTTTCTGCAGCTCTCATATCATTAACGAACACAACCTTGACTCTATTGACTGTACTGTCATATCTTTGAGTTATATTATATGTTCTTCCTATCTTATATCTTTTTGTGTTGAAGTCCTTCGGTTTCTGAACGATATAAAGTAAGCCTTCACTGCAACGTTCCGTATCGAATGAACCATAAGTTATGAAGTTATATCCAACAACTGGGTCTAACCATAACAAAACTATTGGTATAAGACTTTTGTCTATAAGATATGCTCTTGTTCCATGAAATGCTACTGATATCATAAGCTCAGGATTTCTTGTCAAAATTTTCTGAGTTGAAGCATTTCTAACCCAGTCGTTTGTTTTCTTTCCAGATGGAGATATAATGTCTGACAAAGAATATTTGTTGTATTTCTTTGAGTATCTTACGTTTAAATCACCTATTCTAACCACTTTGGTGTCATTGTCTATCTTTCTAACTGTTTCAAACTCAATGTTTGTCATTACTGTCTTTACATACAAGATAAAAATTTTTTTAGAAAAATAATGTTTATGTTAGCATGTTAGATCTAACACGTTTTCTAACCACTTTTCTAACATCGAAGAAAACTATTTACAAGCGTTTTACATGGTATATGTTGCGATGGTTCATGACTTTAAACAGTTTTGTAGCTTCTATTTCTTTCACGAAGGATATCAAAAATTTTAACTATGCCGAAGGTTTCTTTATATTTCTTCTTGACATCAGATAATAGGAAATCGTCAGCAGTTGGATAGTTTTTTGTTCAGAAATGCTAACATGTCCATTTTATCTCTGCTGGTTTCTCTACTTCTTTCTTTAAGTCAGCATAGTCGTTTCGCATACGTTCTATCTCTTTGACGGAGTAGTTATATTTCCTTATTGCTGCTTTACATTTTGAACATTGCGGATTCATTTTTGCGTTATACATTGAAATTTGACCTGCTAGAACAACTAAGGCGTCAATGGTTTTCTTTAACTCAAAAGATGTTGGTTTTATTTGTCCATTCCATATTTTACATCTTTATCTTTATCTCTTATCTGCCATACACATTCAGCAACTAATGAAACAAAGTTGTCGTATGTCTTAAACTCCCCAGATTTATATATGTCAGAGATGTTCTTATATACCATGTCGCAATCTTTGTCCATAACTTTATGGTTGCAATGATATCCTAGAAACTCATAGTTTACTTTACGTATGAACTTTCTTTATTTCTACTGAGTCAGTTGGTTTCACTTCTATTTCATCGAATTCATGAATAGTGAGCTTTTGTTGTTGGATTTCAGGCAATTTGGGTAAATGGTCAATAATGTCCTGCATGTCATAAAGATACTGTTCATTTGTTTCATCTTTCGCACTACAGTCTAAATTACTTGTTAAAAGTTCTTGCTTAATTCTTTGTATTTCTGTCTCAAAAAGTATATGAAGAAGGAATGAAGCTTTTCATCTCTACTAACATAGATGTTGGATTCATAACTAAAAGAGTTTGGTGAAGTTGTTGTTTGAAGTGTTGTAGAACCTATTGTTGAAATCATATCTTTACATACAAGATAAAAATTTTTCTTAGAAAAAATTAGCGTTATTTTTCTTTCATAAGGAAATGTCAAAAATTCATGATTTTCGAGAGTTTTAGACCATGTTAGAAAAGTGGTTAGAAAACGTGTTAGATCTAACATGCTAACATAAACATGATTTTTGTTCATGGACTTCGTCCTCGCCGCTTCGGTCTGAAAGACCTCAGGACTCAAAGAGTCCGTTTGCGTCTTTATGTTAAAATAAATGGTACCCTTAATGATATCATGACTGTTCTCGTTCATGTCTGATTTACATCTAATGAAAAAGTTTAGAAGAATTTTCTTATTCTTTCTGGCTTATTTTTGTCTTTCCAGTACTCCCGCTCTAATGGTCCCAGATGTGTTGGCTTTGACTCTCTCAAGTTCTTAGATGGTATAACATCTTCAACGCCTCCTTCATATCTTACTTTATAAGTGTCATCGTTTATGTTATAGTTAAGTATTTCAATAACCACTCCTCGCTTTGCTTCGTCAATGGTTTCAGCAAGTTTGCCATTACTACTTTCGACTAATTTGTGACGAGGGTAAAACGCAATAGAGTCGTCAGCAGCTTTTATAAGATATCCATTACCTTGCGTAGAGTCTACGATATAATAGTTTCTACTTAACCTTAAACGTTTCTTTGTCAACGGTTTGTCGTCAAGAACTACACGAACTTTTGTACCAGGAATGAGGGTAAATTGTGTTGAATTTCTGATATTTTGTGTTTGGCTTCGTTTCTGTTTGTATATACTTTTCTTCTTGTTGTTGTGTCATTGAATTTGGTGTATGTCCTGTTGTAGAATTTGTTGAGGAATTATATACTTCGAGAAAATGTTTCATTGTTTCTTCGGTAAAGTCTCGCTCTTGATTTAAATCTCTGAGCGTTCTTATGAAGCGATTAATGATACCTAAAATATTATGGTTATGGTCTTCAGTAGTGTAGTGAGTTATGTTATGCTTAATGAGAAATTCTGTGATTTCGTTGCTGAGGTATGCACTGTCTTGGTCTGATGTTAAAGTACTTGGGTTATGTTCTGCTACAACTTTTGTAAAACTCTTAACACTTCACGAGTTCCTTTATTTCTCATTATATACGCAAAAGCTTTGCGAGTGTTAACATTTATGAAGATGAGGAATGGTTTATGTCCTTCTTTTCTGCTTTGAATGAGAGTGTCAAATTGGTATGCGTCGGGAGTGTTGGAGTAAATTGGTAAAAAGTAGTCGTAAGGGTTTATTTTTGTTTGATGTACAACATTTTTGTCAAAGAACTTTTTAACTTCAGCTCTGTTAGTAAATCCCCAACTCTTTGCAGCTTCATTGAACTTCTTAAATGACCTCCATGGATGTTGTTCGAATACTTCTTTCAAGCTCATTTATGTAAAAATAAAGATTTTATTCTAGGCTCAAGCGAGTTCATTCAATAAACGCGGTACCATGCGAATACAGTCATAAATGGAGGCATATAATCTTCACCCGAGCCTGTTGGATTTGTTGTGAAAGTGTGTGAATGATTTCCTGCGGTTCCACAGAAAATACCTGCGCTTGAATCTACTGGGTCACTTGAAATATCATATCTATGCATTCCCTGTCTATCCGAACCTGCTGCAAGATTTGTATAACCTCTTTTTGTTATTGAATGTGAATGACTACCTGTTGTGTTTGTAGTTCCTGTATGAGTGTGCGGTGGAAGGTTTGCTTCTTTAATTTTCTTCGAACCACCTGTTTGCTTTGAAGAGTTCGCACAATAGAGGAATTTATCTACAATCTTTTCCCACGTACCAAAACCTAAAACACTTGCCGGATTTGTTGAGTTCATTGACGTATAAATAGAGCCTATAGGATATATGGTTTCAAGAATCTGGGCCTTCATTGTTAGAAGTTCATGTTTAACGTTTATAGTTTTATTGCCTTCTACAATATTTATATTGTTTGTTATTAAACCATTAGGAAAAGTAGGAGGATAAATTCTTTGTTCTTGTACAGTTGCACCGTCTCTTCCTGTTTTTGTTACTATTTCGATGCATGCCTTAATTTCTTTAATCTTGATTGTTTGAAATTCTTCATGCACGTGCTCTTTATCGGCTTTTCCATTAAGCGCAGCATTTACTTCCGACTTCTTTGCATAATTTTCATCTACATAAGTTTTGTCGGCTTTCTTATCTAACATTGCTGGTAGTTCATTGCTTCAAAGTTTCTGGCATGACCTTCAATATTCCTGCAACTGTTATCTAAATTGTTTAGTGTATCTTTTACGCTTGTACTTGGATTCTCTAAAGGTGCACTTGAACCAAGGGTATAGTTCAATATTATGTCGTCTGCTCTAACAGTAGTGAAGGATTTATGTGTATGGTTCTTGTCGGCTTTACTGTCTAATGTAGCTTGAAGTTCATTTATATCGGAGATGTTGTGTTTATGAGATTTCAAAACTTTGTTCGTTGCTTCAAGTTCAACTTTGTCAGCTTTACTTTTAATAGCATCTTCAAACGTTATTTTTGACTTAACTCTCAAAGTAAATCTTGGTTCAACTAATACACCGTTAACAGAGAAAGTAGAGGCATAAATTTCACCGGTATAACCAAATGCTTCTGGTGCTTTAGCTACATCATACTGTACAGTACAGCTTATGTCATAACCTTTAGCACGAATGTATTTATATCTTCTTTCATTAACATTTTTTGTCTTCGCTTCATCACTTCGTGTTAAATATCCATGGTAGTTCGTTATAATCTGTTCGTCTGAAGTTATATAATGAACGTGGTTCTTGACTTTATCACTCAGAGCTAAAAGCTCATTTTTTTTGCTTTTTCGGCTAATTTCTCATTAACATCATTCACTTCTAATTCAACTCTTCCGCCAGAACTCTTATTATCATTAATCTTTTTCATTAATTCGGTAATTACGTCATAAAGACTATATTCTGTTTTCGGTTTTGTAAATAATGAGTCAAAATTTCTTTTCATCATTACATCGCTGACATTAATGATATCACCAATTCCTTTTTCATTTATTCTCTTCATTAATTCTGCAATAATGACGAATATATAATCTGTTAATTTATTCTCTTCATCGAGGGTTATAGAATGTTTTGAAATTGAATCATTAACTCCTCTAAATAAATCAATAACTTCAGGATACACGTTTTTAATGTCTCGAATAACCCGACCAGTATCCTGTTGTTCATGTTCTTCGTTCCCGTCGTTACGTGGTTTTATATCTCTAACCATCATCAACGCAGCCATAACCGGAGGGTTTGTTGCTATCTGTTCGAAAATCCGTCCGTTATGTACGGTATATCTAAATAATTTCTTTGTGTTTGTTAAAACATTTGAAACAAGTCTTTTAAAACCATCTACAAAATTTCCTGTTTCACCTAATGTTCTTGCAGCATTTACAAGCTCACCCATTCCCGCTTTTGACCCCAAAAACGTCCATATTGCATTTATTTCACTCTGTATTGTTGTCCATTCAGCAAAATTAATACCCGCATTCGCTAAGCTGAAAATGAAATTCAGTGGATCGAACTTAATTCCACCTTCTTTTTCAATTTCAACGAACTCACTAACATGAGATTTTAAGTATTCTTTCGTTAAAATTATTTTCCCCGATGTTATGTCATTAACGAAACTATCACCGTCAAAAGTTAACGAATTCAATTTCGTCGTTGATGCTTTTATTTCATACACCGCTTTATCGATAGTTTTTGGCTCACCTTCTTTAGAAGCATATGAAACATTAATGAATGAATTATATGTATTCATGAATGAATTAAAATCAATGATTTTCATTAATGACGCCTTTAATGATTCATTTACTGTCGAATCCCTTAAAGTAATTAATGAACTGTCATTTATGAAAGGTACACTGCAAACCGTTGAGTTTGGATCAAATGCTATAGTTGGTGCAGGAATATTAATGATATAAGTCATTAAATCATTAAGTGACGTAAATAATGTTGTCGTTTTTGATTTAATTTCTTTAGCATCTGTTATATATGGTAATTTTATTTCTGTAGTTTCTGAATTAAAGATATTCGCTAAAATGTTTTGTAAACTGTTTTGAACAGCTGTGTAAACCGTTGAATCCGGAACTCTTACGATTTCACCGTCCTTAATAAAAGGCATTGCACATGGTGTAGTGCTTGGGTCAAATCTTTTTGGGTTATGATTCAACATATATTCTAACGCTTCATGAACAGACTTATATACTGTTGTGTCGTTCTTCATGACAACTTCACCATTTACAATGAATGGCATAGTACATGGAGTTAAAATGGGGTCAAACTTTTCATAGTCCTTCCATGTTATGTATTTCTCGGTATTTCCATCACTGATAACAATATATTTGTCAGTAAGTGTGAGAGAGTATTGACCAAAATATAAACGTTTAGCTCTGTCAGCTTCATACGCATATGCAGCTATACTCATATTTTAATGAGAATAAAATGTTGTTCTATTTGCAAAGTACAGACCCAAACGAATACGGGACAAAAACTACAAACAAACTTAGGTCTACAGAATGAGGCGCTTGCATTCAGAATGGTTGACTTTAATACTATTGCTTCATTCGTTATAACTGACGAAACAGATTTCATGGAGCTTGAAATAGATGGAAAGAAGCACGAAATAAGATTTCACAATAATGTAGAATATAAGATGGAAACATTAGCTGGAGTGTTAAATGCTCTCATAAATACTACAATAAACAAGGATAACGGAGAAAACTTAATGAATGTTAAACTTATTGCAGGAGTTTTGAAGTTCAGTTATGCGAAAGAGTTTAAGATACCAAGAATGAGTCATAGAGTACAACTTCTTTTGGGAGCATACCATATGACATTTCCTTTGAAAAGTGTTGACAAAACGATTGAGATGAAATCTGTTCCATACGTATGTTATGGCAATTGTTTGTACATTGAGTCAAAAATAGCTAATGTCACAGGTATTTCAGGAGTTAATAGTAAAGGTTCAGTAGAATATAAATCCTTCTGTTATGAAGTAAATTCAATGTTCATTCCAAACGTTCCTGTCATAGCAACTCATTTAGGTAAATGGGTTCGCATTAGTCCTCATAATTTGAAAGACATGCAATTCAGACTTGTTGACTTTCAAGGAGATCCTGTAGAACTGAAGGCACCAGTGCGAATGACTGTTGAAGTTGACTTTTTAGAAAATATTAAATGCAACAGCTTACAAGAGAACTCAGAGCTAAAAATATAAAGTATGAATGTTATGTATTAGGTCATGAACTTTGGTTGTTGCTGTTTGATGAAACAAATGAGTTAGTTATGTCAGTCAAGAGAACAGAAAAATATTGTGTTAGTGAAAACTGCACCAAGTCAATAAGATTAGGTTTGCATTATGAAGATGAGTTCGATACTGTTGAAGAAGTTTTGGATAGATATTACAAATTGCTTTAATTTACTAAAACATATTTCAAACAAAGCTTATAGTAAGTAGATAGTTTTGTATACTCGTTCGAATATTTATACTTAAAACTCAACTCCTGGAGTACCTGTTTTCAATGATGCGGATGTTACCTATTTTCATGAATATTGGAGTTTGACCACAGCATTCGATTTCAGGGTCGAGATAGTCAATGACACATTGCTTTCCTGTTATTCGTGATATAATATTTTCAAGGTCCTCTTTGTTAGAATTATTTGGTTCTTACTTATAAGATTTGTCAAAAGCTTCTTATCGTCTTTGAGTAAAATTGTTTGGTATAACTGAAGAAGGTAATGGTCTACGTTATCTGAAGGATTTGTTTGAACATTTGTGTAAGGGTTGTCGTTGGCTTCTCTTGAAAGAACTTGGTCCAGTGGTGGATACTCTAACTTAACATCTGATGTAGCGTTAGCGTTTGAAGCTGTGTTTAAATTCACTGACTTAAGTTCTGGTTCTTTTTCTTTCAAACACTCTGAACTATAGTTCTTTATGACAATATTGTTTGTCGTTCGTGAGTCAACATTTGATGTTGGTTCAATTGGAACATTAACGGCACCAGCTAAGATGGATTTGCTTCTCATTTCATATAGAATAAAAACCTTTTATATGTATGAAATGAACAATATACTCGACAAGGGTTTGAATGTAAAGCTAACGAATGAAAATATTGTTGAATTCACTGAGACAGGTGCTGTGTATAAAGATGTAGAACTACTGAACAAAAGAGCAAAGGGAAGAAGCAGGAATATGAACAAAGGGTGGAAGCCTATAAAAATTTATGTCAATGATGGCTCAGGAGGTTCAAACATAAAGTATGCAGAAAGTTATAGAGTTTATGCTCTCAAAGGTGAAAAGCCTTCATTTAAGAACAGCTATTCTAACGCATATCCTCAAAAGCTAACGGATGGGGAAGTGGATGATATGAATGACAGCAAAAATATTAACAGAAATGGCGACAGAGATGCATGGAATTTGTTTACCATCAGTCAATTGAAGGTTAAACTTTAAAACAATGTTGGTCGTTCCCATGGAATATTTTTGACTTTAATGGTATTAGTCATGATATGAATCTCAAGGTATGAACGAGGAGAGATGAGAGACTTATATGCTTCCCAAATTTCTTCAAAAGGTAATGTTATACCTGACTGTTTCCAAATGAGTTCAATATCATAGCGTGAGAAACCTTGAAAGATAACGAAGTCAGTTATGAGACGTTTTATGTTTAAAGCTAAAAACCTCCATGTTTGCATAAGTATTGCTACAGTTAAGTGGTAATGTCTGACTTTAGTTATGATGTTAGCTAATGGTGAGTCTGGTTTTGACACTGAACCTTTTCCAGCGAAGTCGTCACAAACGAGCAGAGTGTTTGAAGGATACTTTTTGAAGGGGTATTTTGAAAGTTTTGATAGAATGTAGTTTGTAAGTCGTTTCATATCGTAAACTCCTGAGTACTGACGTAAGTGGTGTTTGTCAATAATTCTTTCCATCTCCTCAGAAGTCTTTTGCATTCCTGACTGTATAAATTCAACGATGGCATAATATTTTCTCTTACGTCGAATGTAACATTGAAGAAATTCAATGAGTTCACTGTCTGGAACTTTAACGACAGAGGCTTGAACTTTTGACATAAATGTTTTCGCTGTTGAGTCCATAGAGTCTGAAGTTGCTGATATAATGATTTGGTCATAGTAAGAGTCGTTTCCTAAACGCTCTGTTATGAGTATATGACGAATGAGGTTAAATGTCTTACCTGAACCCATCTTTCCACAATAGAAATAAACACCATTTGAACAGAACTCATAATCTTTGCTGAAAGGAAGAATAAGAGAACTGTTGAGCTTTTCACTGCTTTCATTCATGTCTTCATCTACATCATGTATTAAATGCTTCATTTTATCTCCATTAAAAATGCAAGTCAGAAATATTCAGAACATAGCACCGAGTCTAACTGACAAGAGTATAAAGATATACTATGAACACGTTATGATGAAACCAACCAAAATTCAAGAAAGTCAGTATACTTATGAATATCCAAGACACTGGGTAGAGTATGTAGGAGGTGAGAAAGCTATTGAAATCAGACAGGTTCGAAGTATTCCAGCAGGAAGAACAATATTATTGAAGAACTTTAATGTTTTGAGATATAATGATGAAACAAAGAAGCAAGATAGTTTCCCTGTTGCTGTGTATGTGAACTTAGATACAGGAGATGACATGAAAGTTTTAATACAAAGCTTCAAACGGTAGTGAGAGAACAACTGACTGCGGAAGGGCATCCATTACCTTCAGAAGTTACCATAGCATATAATTTTGAAACAAACTCAATAGATTTTAAAGTCATCTCTGCAAAGAAGTCAGGTTTTACATTTAATGAAGCAGATGTATATTCGAATGAAAACTTCAAAGCTATTGCATGGTTAGATAATGACGATTGCTTTAAGAAAATATTTAAATACAGTGACTCAACGATGTCAATAGATGACCTTCGTGGAATGTTACCATCGACGTTTACAGTAGAAGGTTCAGCAGGATTGCTTACAAGATTGTCAATTGGTGGTATTTGGTCTCGTGAGAACATTGTTATAAAAATCCAGTATAAGTGAATTTGCTGAAGAATCTATATTATGTCTTTCAAACTACATGTATTCGCCGCCGAAGCATTATAGTATAACAAACTTTGTCAGTAAGTTTAACATAAGACTTGTCGAACCTTCTTCAATGAAAGATGTTGTGCTACCTAAAAGATGGAAAGGATGGACTCATTATTGAGATGATTTTAATAGCATATTAAATGAGTTTGTTCTTGAAGGTCATTCATGATGAAATAACTGTTGTAGAAGATGTTAGCAATTGTTCAGACATTTTGAAGCGTATAGGTGAGATAAGAAAGAAGTTAGATAGACCGCAAAGCGGTGAGGGCGAAGCCCGTGAGAATGTTTATGTTTCATTGACTTTCTCCAGTAACGAGAACTTTTATGAGATAATATTGAAGAGAGATGATTTTAATATGGTGTAAATGGTAGCTTGGGCAGCTTTAGGCGCAATGGGAACAAAAGCATTAGCATTTGGAGCAAAAGCACTTGGAGCTTATGACGCAGTAAATAAAATGAGTGGAGGAAGGGTTTCGAAGACATTAGATGCAAATAAAGGGAAGATTGGAGGCTGGGTTGCAAAGAAGTTAAGATTAAATAAAATAGGGCTCATAAATAAAGCATCCATTTTGGTTGCGACTGAGTCAGAAAATGCTTTAGGAAAGGACGATGAGTTTGCAAAACACGCAAAAGACTTTAATGACCAGATGAAAGGTGAAACAATGCATTTAAATAGATTCGATGGAACTAAAGAAAATGTTTCTTCTCCACCAGTAGTTCTTCCGTATGGTCCCTATGGAATGTATGGAAACCCTTACGAAAGACCATTTGACCCATTGACTGGTGGAAGTAACTGGTATCATTACGGCCGAAGAAGAAAGACAGTCAAGTTGGAGACAGACGTGAAGAAAGCAACTAAAAAGAAACCAAGGAAGAGAGTTATAAAGCAATGAATTCAACAGGGTGAAAAAACAGGTGAAAAAAGAGGTTAGAAAACGTGTTAGATCTAACATTCTAACATAAACATTATTTTTGTGCTATGTTTTCATACGTGTGAGGGTGGTGATATCATTTATTTTTATTTTATTTTTATATAAATGACAGAACAAAAATATAACATTTCTACTCAGCAGGAATGAGACCCTTACTGACTATGTATTCGTTTAATGCTTGATGAAAACAATGGTACATATTATCGTATGGGTATACACAACGTCTGTTTCCATCGTCGTCGTATATGTAGAGCTCAAATCCAGTCCAACCTTCTTTTGTACAATATGTAGCTTTATTTAAGTATGCATTTATGTAGATAAGGCAATTTTCTTCATCGCTCCAGAAATAATTTTTGTTCTTTGTTGAAATAGTTTTCGTTCCTCTGCGACCATAAGGAATGTATGCAATGAATTTTGCGTCATATGGGATTGTAATATATTCAGGGTTTCTTTCATCGTCAATGGGTCTGTCTTTGTTAAAATGCATGTTTCTCAGTTTTACTTGAGTTTTGAATAGTTCACGGAAACGTTCTGGGAAAGAGTCATAGTAAATGTAGTCGGACATGTCTTTGTAATGAAATAAAAAATCTAAAAAAAAATAAAAATAAGGTTATTTTTTATTTAGTGAGGACGGTAGTGAATTCGTTAGTGAAGTCGTTAGTGAAATCATTAGTGAAGTCGTTTATGTGTCAGACGGTTTTGCAAATATTTAAGGTTAATTTGGTGTTATGGTTGTGTTGTAAAATATACGTTACCGGTTTCGTAAAGTGTCAAATTCGCTAAGTGGTGTATGGAGGCGTGCAGTGCCACAGTACGCAACTTAGGGATACTAACTAAAACAAGTATAAGGTTTAAGCTGTATGTATTAAAGTTATAAATATTTGATTTTAAAAAAAATCAAGATTTTAAACTTTAAAGGTATTAATTATGATTATCTTTCTTTAGCTTTACATGCTGTATGCTACTTTTGGAAACTGCTCTATTGTATTAGAATGTTTTTAAATTTTGCACCTAAAAATGCGTAATATTAAAAATTAATGTATTAATTATGATTATCTCTCTTTAGCTTTACATGCTGTATGCTACTTTTGTCTTTGAGACATTCCATGATTTAAGTTAAGAAGCTTTAAAAAAATGCAAAAAAATTGAATACTTTACTGGCTGGGCAAATTTGTCGCCACCCCTAAATGTCATAATTTTATCAAGATTTGGAGTTTTTTTCAGAAGTTGTCAGAAAAAATGTAAATATTTTAGCATTATATTTGTACTTATTCAACAAGGTTTTCGATTTTTGTTTCAAATCAAACTTAATTTTGAGGGATATATTGAAAAAGTGTATAAGAATTTTACGAATGAATGTCAAAAATTGAGAATTTATTTCAAATACTGATATATGGTATTCCCATTTTCTTCATGTTTTGAGTTGATTCCTGAAAAATAAAATCTTAAGATTAGTTTACGCCAATTCAATGTTTAACTTACCTCAAAATTGAATTACCAAATTAACGAATTTGAATGCCTTTCAAGTGACAATTCAATCTATTTAAATATCCATTATCAAGAATAATATTTATAGTGTATGATAAAATGCAATCATTATTTTTTTTATCGATGCCGTTGAAACCGTAATATATCAGAATAAAATAATGACTGATATCGAAAACCAACAACCAACTGATGGTCAAGCACCTCACAAGATGCCATCATCAAACGATTATCTATCAAACGAATATCCATCTTCAGATAACGAACCTTTTTATAACGGCGATCCTCAGTCACCACAATATCTGAACAATGAATACTACTTGCCACAGACTCCTCAAACCCAATCTACAAATAAACCAATAGAGCCAACATCAATTCATGATCTTTATGCGAGATCCAATTTTAATGAAGATATTTCTGCATGGAACACCATCATGAATGAACCATCAGAACATTCCGATTTTTGGATTACACCAGAAGCACTTACAAACTTTTCTCAGAATGCCACTCAATTGAAAAAACACAACTCATTTTTGTGGGCTATTCCGTTCATCTTGAATTGTCTTGCTTTAATAGGTCTCTTCTTCAATTTCATCAGATATCATCTGGATTATATGAAATATGGTATCAATGTTGCCGTTCCAACCATCATTTGTTATTGGATTTCGCTTGCCTTCGTTGTCATGTTGGTTATAGAACAATGTTTTCCTACAATCACAGTACGCTTTGGTATCTTTATTAACTTAATTATCCATTTAATTGGATATTTCCTCAAATTCAAAGGTTTTTGGGAGTACATCTTCGTATGGCTAACATTTTTAGTTTTGGGACTCTTCTTCTACTTGATTACAAGCGGACGCGCAGAATATGATATCTTCATGGCAAGACTCATCAGGAGGAAAGTCTATCAGACTGGAAATTATATCTTTCTTATCTTTATTGTTCTAGTTATTATGTGTTGCGCAATATGTTTCCCAGTGTATGATTCTTGGACCTGGTTTAATAGTGTTAACTGGATTTACCAAGCATACTTAACCATTTCCTTCTACAACATTGTCTGTGTCTTCGGAAACTGCACTTACATGTCTTCTTCATACATGGCAGCGAAATGGTACTTAACAGGCGAGAAAATCGGCGCAAAAGACGTATCAAAAGGTTTACGTACTGGATTTATCGATAACATAGGTGTTGCCTGCAAGATGTCTTATTTACTTCCGATTTTGGAATTTGTTAATGCAATTTCAAGGTATTCGCCACAATTAACAGTTTATCATATCAAAGACAAATATCCATTGTTCGCAAAACACTACTGCGCCGTTTGTGGACCAATTGTCAGACTATTCAAAAAATTGGCCAAATTTGAAATGAAACTCTTAGGTTATCCACAGAGGAGAGCAATGACATATTGCGCAATATACGGAATTCCATATGAAGAGGCCGTACACCGCTATTATGAAATTCAATCTACAAAAGGAGCTCCTTTGGTCGACGATGCTTTCATGTTTGACACACAACTTATCTTCAAGCAATTCTCATTCGGAATGGTCGCTTTCTACTTCGAAAGGTTTGCCAGAAGGGTTAAATATGGGGCTTTTCCCGGACTCAATGACGCATTAGCGTTATTCTATGTTTTCGCAGTCTATTATTCATTCAGATGTATTACAAGAGGATTCTTGGAAACAGTTTTCGTTTTATTCGGCGAACTTCCAGAGAAGGCGAATAATATTGATCCAGATTTATTCGATACATTGAAAGAAATGTTCGAAACATCTCTTAAAGCAAGAAATGATGACACTGACATCAAATCTGATGAAGTGTAGGATTCATGAACAAGTTATTTATCATATATTTTTTCATTTATTTTATCGGCGCAAAGCCGGAATATATATTAAAATTATTCCGTCGAAAAACTCATTTTTTAGTCATAAAATTTGAAACAATTAGTATTCTAACTTCATTGATAAATTAATGATTATTTAATCTAAATTTAGATTAATGATTATGATCTTTTTCATCTCATAGGCATGCATTGATCATGATATGAGTTATAGCATTCATACTCAAGAAAATAATCTTCATGAAATTGTAATCTTAGTGATGACAACTCTTGAATCGAGTATTTCATATACACAACATACAAGCTTTATAAATTCTGGCTTTTGAACCTACAAATCATTATTTTTATTTTCAAAAAGTGACATTTAGGTTTACATTATCGAAAAGGAAATTATATCTGGTCAAACCGTTTTTCCCAAAATGGGATTTTTGCTTCTCTTTTACCTTATCAAATATATTATTTCATTACAAGCAAACGATTCAAGATTAAAAATCGGTATCATTAAAGCTGCACCTAATTGCGATAGATGGATAGAAGATGGTAACTGGATATATGCTCATATTGTTGCTCGTGTTGAAGGCAGAGATGAGCCAGTGTTAAATACATATAATGACAAACCAATGTACCTTATGGTAAATAATTCTAAATTTATTCCAGGATTTAATATTGGACTTCGTGGTGCTTGCGAATTTGAAACACGCAGAATCACAATTCCTCCGGAACTTGCTTACGGTGATAAGTTTGTTGATGGATTGTTCGGTCCACAAGCAACTTGGACAGTTGACGCAGAAATTCTCGAAATTCTTAAAGACATTAGCATATAAGTAAGTTGTAGATACTTTATTCGTTAATTTGTATTTCAAATACCATATTAAAACCGTTTTTTTATATCCTAATTTCTCAACCTAAATTACTAGTATTTATAGAGGAAATTTAATTTTTTATTAATGAGATTTCAAAACATACTAACCCTAAATTCATAACTTTTATTTTTTTGGAACAAAATTTGAAAATATCTTTAATTTTGTTGGATTTCTTTTGCAAACATAAGATATCAACTATCATATCATATCGATGTCAGAATTCATCATTCAATCAGTATTTTTTATTTCAAAATTGAATTTTCTACAATAAAACCAATATTTTGAAGAGAATAATAGTGACACATCATCGTTGTTTACTAAGTTTAAATGAAAAATTGGTTTCATTTGCAAGTTATATTTTATTTTTGTAAAATATGTAAATATTCATTCATACACATTTAACTTTTTATTTTAAATATAGTGTTTGCCTTTTGTGATGATTTTCTGGCATTTCATACAGTATCCGTAGTAAATAGTCAAAGTGTTAGGATGAGGGTAGAATTGGCAGTTTCCTTTGCAAGCACAAGTGTCATTAGAAGGCATTTCCTTACAGATATTGCAGAACCAGCAAGGTTGTTCGTCAACAATTTTCAATCTTACGCCAACGCTGCAACATCTATTGCATTTGAACTGCATCCATTTATATCCGCATGTTGGACATACAGGGAACAAATAGTTCTTACACATCGGACAGAAACCCGAAATATCCTTAATTTCGTCAACTTTCCATCCGCAAGGGAAATAAATAGGTATATCATGTTTGTTACATACAGCAAACCTCATTTCCTTCAATACCCAGCTGATTGAAGCGTTTTCACCTTCAAATGCGTAAGGACTTAATTTAGATTTGACATCTGGATGGAATTGAATGCCATCTGTTATGATTCTTGCATTCGCAATCTCATTTATCTCTTTCATGACATTAACCCATCTCGTTATATCCTTCTTCGCCTCTTCATCTATCGAAGGATGCCAAATAAATTGTGCACAACCAGGAGCAGGACACAAAGGAAGATTCAAGATGCCGTCAGAGCTCTGTTCTCTTAACATCTCGAGAGCGCAGTCCCTGTGGATTGTATGTCCACACTCGAGAACAAGACAGAGATGTCCAATAAGTGGTTTTTGGCAATGCAAACAGATGGAACCACCAAAAGTACAAATTGGACATAAAGGATGCATTTTTTCATTGAGAAGACCAACACATGCATGACCGCATTGGTGTATCTCAGTGCACATTTTGCTGGAGATCTCTTGACACTTAGGATCATCGCAAACAAGTAAAGGGATCTTTCCATTTGGAGCATTTTTAGGATTCGCTGCTTTTCCACAAATTCTGCAGACATAGCCATTTACAAACCATTCGTGCTCTTCACAGGTTTCCCCACTGTGGAAAGGAACAGCATGACAATGATGGCATGTAGTAATATGGCATTTGTTGCAACAAATGTAATTTTCGGCAAAACATTTACGTTGTTCATCGGTAAGGTGCTGATTTGGAAGATCATGGACATCTTCTGGATTTCCTTTGACAAATTCGAACTTGTTTCCGCAGAATTTGCAGTTGTATATGTTTTCACTGAGTAAGGAGTCTTCTTGCTCATCCAATTGACTAATAAATGATGGATGCATTTGCATTAACTCTTGTTTTGTGAAAATGTAATCGCAAAGTGGGCATTTCACGTTGTCTGGATAATTTAATTTTTGATCTTCAATAGATTTTTGAAGACATTTGAGGCAAATTTGCTTGTGACCTTGATGTGGAACTAATGTACCGCGCTGTTTCGGTTTCTTGATCTTTGATCCAAAACAACAGATAGGGCAACAATCATCTATTAGAGTAAAATCATCATTATCATCTGCCTGAACTGAAATTGTATATTTGTGAAGATCAGATGCTGCCTTTTGAGTAGTGGATGGACGCGAAATTTGAACTTTGTCTTTGCTTTTCAGTGATTTTTTCATTTGTGTGGCAAAATTTCAAAATTTTTAGTCAAAAAAAGTTTACACTATTCCAATTTAAAGCTTTCGATTCTAGATGAAAATAATGTCAGATTAAGGGTTTCGTTTTGCTAAAATTGTCACTTTTATAGCATATTTGTTTTTGGATGTTTTGCGAAACCAAAAAAAAACTATGATATACAATGTGTGTGTAAAGAAAATACTTTATTTACTAGTTAAAAAATCATTTGGTATTGATCAAGTTATTTTTTCTGGATAAGATATTATATGGATAATTGGATAGAAAATACAATTATATAATCTTGTACCTGGTTTAATTAAGCTAATTGTCATCAGAAACTTGTAATTTTTATGAATTTCAGATTTTCTTTTCATTACTGCTTTTCTTAATAGGTCAAGTTCTTATTTACGTTATAAAGTATGATATTTACAAATATCAAGTTATCATGTTTTTTGAGAAATTATGAGAAACAAACAAAAATGAAAAAGATAGGAATAGCAATGAATAGTGATGTGGGTATAGAAAATGTAAGAGATATGAATGCAAAGCAATCAGTATTTAGGATATTGACCATAGATTTCGAAAAAAAAATGCTGCATACTGAGCGAAAACTATGATTATATTATAAGGCTGTCATTTAAAGCATAATGAAACTATTTCCTTTTCATTTTAATCGAATAAGATAGTAAAGATTTTTGAATTAGCTAGAAACTGATGAGATGTTTTCACAAATCAGATTTTTAATCTCTATAATGCATAATTCACTCAATATCTCAATTTTGATATTGCGAGATATTTTTGCTATCGGTTTCGCAATTTTGACACAATAGCAAGAGGGTTCTATAAGCATTATTATCAACGTAGAATCTGAATATCATATCAGAAAATGTCGCAAATCTGACATTTACCCGACCAAATAGCAAAAATAATTGAATACTTTTCGCAAAAACTTTAAAAATCGATAAAAATATGAAATATAGATATTAAAGAGACTTTTTATATAATATTCATAAAGATTTTCCAAAAATATGATACCGCAAAATTAAAAAAGTGACGTCTTGAGTGGAGTCAAAGGTCGAAATTGTTAGCTAAATGTTTTTTTTTAGCGAAATTGCGTATTGTACGTTTTTTTCGCAAAACGAAACCCTTAGTCAGATCAAATCTTCCAGGAAATATAGGGTGTCCAAAGGTGCGTTTAGCACAGCGCTCTATATGAGACTATTAAAGGAGATATATGCTGATTATAAATATATAATAAAAAATATGAATATATGTATATGATGAGTATAAAAAAAAAAAAAAAGGTATTGGGGCTTCCAGGGCTGCGCCCCTCTAGCCCCTGAAGATGTTTAGTATAACAAGTAAGGGTCTATCGTCGCTACGTCACCAGGTCCCTCGGTCCCTCGGTCCCTCGGTTAAACCAACTTCTCTGAAAAAATGAGACAACATGACATTTTGACAACAGTCCAGGAAGTCTTAACAAGATAGAATATGAGAGAGGTCCTATAAACCGGAGAAAGTGTCATATAAACATCTGTCAAAAACCTTAACCGAGTAGTTTTCATGTTTTGTCACTTTTCTGTCACTTTTCAGGGAAAAAACATTTTTATTAAATATAAAATGAATTTTACAAAACCACCGCTACCCTTCTTTGGAAATAAGAGTAGATGTAAAGATATTCTATTGAGAGAACTTAAGAAACTACCGAATGGTCTAACATTTGTAGATTTGTTCGGTGGAAGTTTCTATATATCTCATTTGTGCCATACTGTATTTCCTGACTCAAAGATTATATGCAATGACTTCGACAACTATACGAACCGTCTCAAACATATACCAGACACAAACAAAATATTGAAAGAGTTAAAAGAAAAGATACCTATAGGTAAGATGGAACGTATACCATTAGATAAGAAAAATACTGTCAGAGAGGTTTTGAAAAAAGCAGAGTATATTGACTGGGATAGTATATCTTCTAGACTATTATATAGTGGTGCTATAAGAGTTCATGACATTGAAACACTTATGTCAAAAGTTTTATATCTTAACTATACAAAGGTTTTCAAAGAGAACATAGAAAAATATACTGAGGGTATAGAGTTTGTGAGATGTCGTTGGACAGAGTTGTATGAAAAATATAAAAACAAGGAAAATGTTTTCTTTATAGTGGACCCAGCCGCCGTTCTATAACACATGGGATTTTCAATACCAAGTAGACTGGACTTTGAGAGACTCTTTTAGAAACTTTAGACGTTTTACATAACATCCATGCTTTTACTTTACATCCGATAAAAGTGGTTTGGAAAGTGTCATGAGATGGTTAGAGGACATACATGACTATGATTTTAGATACGATAGATAGAATATGAGAGAGGTCCTATAAACCGGAAAAGTGTCACAACAAAGAAATTTTATTGGTAAGTAAATGTGGTTTGAAATAGGACTACTTGTTTTAGGTTTTTTCCATTGTGTCATTTACTTATTTGACGTGGCAGAAAGATATAGAGAATATGAAGATGAACCACTGCCAGCAAATGTTCAGCATATGTACTCGTAAGAGATATTTTTATCTAATATTAAAATGGACGCACAGAACTTAGCGAATGCACAGCAACCTGGACAACCAAACCCAGAGAATATTCCAAATGAAGTTAGAATACAAACTGCAATGGCAAACTATGGTCAAGTGCCAACAGATGTACAAATGCAAACTGCCATGTCAAATGACGCTGCGTTAGGCTTACCACCATGGTATGCAAATATGAGATGGAAAGAGTTTTATACAAACCCTGAAGTGGGATATAAACAACTCTATGCAGATGACGCGAACACAGGAGTTGACCCAGACTATGTTTTCTACCAGAGGAGAAATAGAATGTATGAGCTCCAGTTAAAGAATGCAATGGAACTCAACAGGAAACGTAAGAGACTAGGTGGACATTAGATTTTTACATATAGTAAAATGGGTTTCTTCAGTAGTATTGGAAACTTCTTTCGAAATGTTGGAAGAGGTATATGGAATGGAATAAAATCTGTCGGAAGAGGAGTATGGAACGGAGTCAAAAATATTGGTAAAAGAGTAGGTCAGTTCGTTGGTATTATACCTAAAGACCCTGAACCAGAAGAACAAGCTCCTGTTATACAACAGCCTGAACCTGCACCACAGTCTAGTTGGCAACCAAATCCAACACCTCAACCGTATTAAAATCATATTTTTACCGTTCGATAGTAGTTGTATATGAAACTAAGTTCTAAGTAAAACGCATGGTATAATGGAACTATTCTCTTTCTTCCATCTGTAGTAAACCATACTTGAAAGTCTGAAATACTTCCACTCGGCGGTTCATATAGCTTTGTAGGTTTTTCGTAAAAGTCATTTGCCAAGCATAAAAAAGAGTTTTGTGCACCAGAAAATGAAGCATGAACTATAATAGCATCTGAGTCGAAAACATTTTCATATGTTCCATTAGGGTTTTCGACTTCATAAAAGTCCGGGTGTACTGGATATTCTGCAGGCTGATTTAACATCCTCAAAAATCTATACCATGCCAAGTTGTTATATTTTGTAGAAATATAAACGTTGTCTCCAAGGTCTTCTATTCTATTGAATTTAACAGTTGCATTTTTCCTGTCATATAAAATATCGAGATGGTACTCTCCTTCGTCAATGTTGTACTGTTTTGCATATTCGAGATAGATATCGTTTATTTTTTCTTGAAAAGCTTGAAGAGTTGTTTCTAAGTTTACAAGCAAACTAACTTGTAAAAGTTTTCCCTGTTCAAATTTCTCATACGTACGTTTTTCTTTGTTATAGTATCGAATTTCAAAAGCGACCGTAAATGGGAAACCATGTATGGCTTCTGAAATGAACTTCATTCTACGAAAGCCAATAGCTTTTGTGACGGATGGGTCTCTTAACCATCTTAGTGGGTAGTCAAAACGATAGCCTTCATGCTTTACGGTCTCTGTCTCAAACTTTTGACCGACATTCGTAAAAAGTTCATCTAATGGTTTAGTTGTAGCAACTCTTGAATTTTCTTTTTCTATTGAAAGCATATTTTATCTAGAATAAAAATGTCGAAAGAAACAGCGTCTATGAGAGAAATACAACACAACCGACAACTCATTTTGCAAGCTCTAAATAAGAACACAACAAACTTTTCAAACTATTCTAAGATATCTGAGTCATTGAAAGAAGGAAACTTAAAACTGACGATAAACCCAATGACAGATGAGTTTCTGTTTCAAGACAGTAAGAACCATACTGTTTGTATAAATCCAACAAAAGGAACTTTAAACGAGAAACCTATAGATGAACTTCTTTTGAAAGCAGATGTTGGCAACAAAGCTGACAAAGAATATGTCATTGAAAAAGTTCAAGAAGAACATGACAGAGCAGATGCAACATATGCAACGAAAGAACATACTCATCCTGAACTAGCAGACAAAACATATGTTGACAATAAAATGTCAAGTGAAGTGACAAGAGCTGACAAAGAATATTCTAAAAAGACTCATACACATACCATTGCAAATATTACAAACTTACAAGAAACCTTAAACAGGAAAAGTGACGTTGGACATACACATACCATTGCAAATATTACAAACTTACAAGAAACCTTAAACAGGAAAAGTGACGTTGGACATACACATACCATTGCAAATATTACAAACTTACAAGAAAAGTTAGATGGCAAAGCTGACAAGAACCATACACATACCATTGCAAATATTACAAACTTACAAGAAACCTTAAACAGGAAAAGTGACGTTGGACATACACATACAAGTTTTACAACTTTTACAGCAGATGATATTACACTAAACACAACCTTGCCAAGTAAAGCTCCAACAATACCACCGGCAACAAGTCTTGTAGATACTTTGATATCTAATGACAATAGTATTATACATCTAAGACAGGAACTCAATGTGCTTAAACAAATTTTGCCGAATCTTATTTACCCGGTTGGCTCATTGTATGTTTCAATGAACTCTA